TGGACATGTGCCCCACGAGCCATCTACGGAAGAGAAGCTCAGTGATGGATCGTCGTTGACTACGCCGTCCACTGTCATTCATGTATACGAGAGTGGTTGCTAGTGAACGCTTGTCTGTGAACATGCAACCATCGTGGAATAGCCGATGTGATGTCAAAGAAGAGCATCCGCGAATATTTGAATGGGTGTCAATTCATTTTGCGGCATGTTGTAATGGGGTGGCTGCTCCGTGATAATAATAAATAAATAATAAAGTAAAATCCTATGATATATACGCAAGGTGAACGGACGGGGAATAAGTATTAGAAAACAGAAAATCATATCAGGACGATCGGCGTTTACGCAAAAGAAAAAAAGTAGAAAAAAAAAAAATAGGGCGGACTTTGAAAAATAAGGCCAAGTCCGGGCTTTTTAACACCCCCCCACGCGCTACCGAAGTGCCTTAAATTCGCTGGTCCTAACGACACAAGCATCAGCGTCCTCCCTCGCATTGCGCTCTGAAAAAATCTGGACACTTCCCAACAGGTATTTCACAGTCATCTAACACGACGTCAGCCTCTCATTTACCTCGTACCATGGCTGCAGCAGCCATTACACCCTCATTGTACCATCACTCAATATACTAGACGGGCTTAAATTGGCTTGCAGGTAAGACACCCTCGGTATACGTATCTCGGTCTCTGCAACTTCTGATCACTCGCGTCGATTCAATGCAGGGTTACCATTGTGCAACTAGTCATACCGTTTTCTAATCCTCTTTCTCTCCGTTACAAATCTTTTCTCTCTTTTCAAACGTTTGGAAGAAAAGTTGTCCGCCTTCGCTACTCGGGATGAATACCGCAGAAAACATTAATGTTTCAGCCGATAATCGTACCTCCGATGGGAGAAAGCAGAGCCCTCCTGCTTTCCTCGACCTCGCCGACTCGGTATGTCCAACCCTTTAACACAGCAGCTTTGGTGTTTTCTTAAAAAACGATCGCGACGCGTGACAGGCTGCGAGGCTGGGTACCAATATGCCCGATATTTCAGCGGTGAGTTTTTTTGCGTTCAGCCGTCCTCCGTACAAGGTTGTAGATCTCAAACCCGATACTCGTTAAAAGCGCGTGGAGCTAAAGAGATTGGAACACGAACGTCAGCGCACATTGCAAAGGAAGATGTTTGAAGATCAGATGCGTGCGTTGGAGCACCAGCAGGCGCAGGAGCTCCTCAGCATCCCATACGAGTCGATGACTTCCGCCCATTTGGCTGTCTCTGCCCCAACAACTCCTCCCCGGGTAAATGCCATCTTGCAAGGGGACGGATTCGCGAAGTCATCACTGGCCCATTCTTCGGTTGACGCCGACGTTCTGTCTAAAGCCGTTGGCTTTGCTGTTGACAAGAGGAAATCGGTCACCTATGCGCCTTCTGTCGATCGCTCCCCAGAGCTTGGGCCAAACCATGTGCTCAACGGTCAGTACGCTCGTGGAGGGGCGAAGAGCATGCCGGCAAGTCGTCGCACGTCTACAAGCAGCCACGATGAAGAACTTGCGGAACACTTCAGAGGCATGGCCCTCTCCGGTGACAGACCTACCGGAGCTTCTCCGAGTCCGGGTCCTGTCGCTCAGTCCATATTGACGAGAGCGCGCTTTAGCGAGGAGGAACATGCTGGCACTGGACAACAACTTAACGTTGGCATGATGCTCGACCAACAGTTAGACCAGGAAATGCATAGTAAGTCATCCTTCCTTTTTCGTGTTCAGTTTCCTTACTTTTCAAAGATGCGATGAGGAACTTACCAACGTCAGACGATGACAAGTTTGCAGCTTATGCAAATAAGGTGAGCACTTCTAGTCTGTATTCCCCACCGAACCTATATATCAGGCTAGATATCAACATCGTCTGCCGCTTTGGATCTTGCGCACCGGTCGCAAACTTCCCCACGCAACTCGTTCACAGCCCGCGACAAGCCGTCCGAGTGGCCACAGTTTACTGGCAATCCCCGCATTCCGGAAGGCCTTGCCTCACGTGCTGAACGCCGCACCGTCACAACGCCGACGGTTACACTTACATCGTCTCCCCTGGACCTCAGTGCCAGATTGTCTAGTGTAGTTTCTGGAACGTCGACGCCGCCGGTCAGCCAACATCCTCAGATGACCCTTGGATCGGTTGTTCCGGTACCCTCGTCTCGCAGGAGTTCTCCAGCAGGGGCTCTTGAGAGTTTTTCAGCAACGAGATCAGTGCCTGCTACTCCTCTCTCTATTACCAATGGAAGCTCTCATTTGCTCCAAGCTCCCGGAACACCACTGACACCTGATGGTCAAAGCATGAGTGGACGCATTTCAGCTCAAGGCAGTCAGCACTTGGGCAACGAGACGAAAACTGATATTCAGCCATCTTTGTCGCGTCTTCCGTCGGGCCAATATGACGGATCCGTCCCGTTGTCGTTTGAGGTTCGAGGATAGCTTTTTCTTGTTAACTCTCACTCAGTTCCGTTACAGCAATACGGCGTTGATTCGGCGTATAACCTCAACGATCGGCTTGACAGTGCGCGCTACAATACTTATGGTTTTGATTCCGGTGCTCGCGGTGGTCACGATGTGAATGGTGCTGCTAGTGGTTCGACCGCTCTCTATCATCACAGCGGCTCGCGTTATGGACTCGGGATGGGTCGCGGGGGGCCTGACGGAAAAATGAACGGGCTCCATGGACCCAAGCATAAACGGGGTGATATGGATCGTAGGTTTGCCCTACATTCTTAACGCAGTATGGCTGAGGATCTTTCATAGTCAACCGCTTTGCAGGGACTCGCTTGGAGGACCTACAAGGGGAGATTCTCGCCCTTTGCAAGGACCAGCATGGGTGTCGTTACCTCCAGAAGAAACTAGAAGAGGGTATTCCAGAACACCGTGACATGATATTCCGGGAAACATTTGGTCACTTCGCCGATTTGATGACAGGTATGCACTTTTCGACCCCTGTTATTTGCGGAGAAATTCACGTTGTTGCAAAGACCCGTTTGGCAACTATCTATGTCAGAAATTGTTGGAGTACTCCACAGATGAGCAACGGAATCTGATTTGCGAGTCCGTCGCTCAAGATTTGGTCAATATCTCGCTGAATATGCACGGTACTCGTGCCGTACAAAAAATGATTGACTTCCTGTCAACTAGACGGCAGGCAAGTCAGATCCCAGTGTCTTTTCGCTTCAACACTTACGGCAGGAGTGTAGGCTGATCAAAGATATAATATACAGATTCACTCGATCATTGTCGCGCTTAGCCTTCACGTTGTTGTGCTAATCAAAGATCTCAATGGCAATCATGTCATACAGAAGTGCCTCAACAAGCTTGCTCCTGAAGACAATCAGGTACCGAGCCTTGAATTCCTCTGTAGTTTATCTGATTTTGTGACAGTTTATTTACAATGCTGTTGCTGCTAATTGCGTGGAAGTTGCTACTCATCGTCACGGATGTTGTGTACTACAACGGTGCATTGATCATGCTTCCGATCACCAGCGCATCCAACTTGTGAACGAAATCACATATAATGCTCTTACCCTGGTTCAGGATCCGTATGGGAACTATGTGAGTCGTTACAGTCGTTCTACTGGCTGCTACTGCTTACCGGTGCCTCAGGTCGTGCAATATATCTTAGATCTGAATGACAATCGCTTCAGCGACGCAGTCATCCGCCAATTCACGGGGAATATCTGCGCATTATCTGTCCAGAAGTTTAGTTCAAACGTGATTGAGAAGGTTGGTTTTGATGTCTGACAATTTCATTTATCATTCATCTGTTGCTCAGTGTATCCGAGTTGCGGAGCACAACACTAGGAAGATGATTATCGAAGAACTTCTCAATCGGTCGCGTTTGGAAAAACTTTTGCGTGACTCATATGGCAACTACTGTGTTCAAGTGAGTAGTTAATGCTGATTCGGTCGCTTGCGCTCAAGTTCTTTCTTCTAGACTGCCCTGGATTATGCGGAGGCTAGTCAACGCGCCTTGCTTGTCGAAGGCATTCGACCCGTGTTGCCGTTGATTCGGAATACCCCTTACGGGAAACGCATTCAAAACAAGCTCCAACGCGAGCATGTCGACAACTACGGCGGTGGATACCAAGGTCCCCAGGCAATGGCCAACATGCATCTCGGCAATCAAGCTGTCGGACTTGGACCCACTCCTCTAGGCCCTACTGCACGTCACCCCCAAAATATGCCTATGACGGACCTTTACGGCTCTCAACCCAGCCTGTACGGGATGCAGGGTCAAGGATCGTATGGTCACGGTCCCATAGCGCCTCAGATGCACGGTCTTGGAGCACGATCGATTGATGAATACGTTCTTCAAAGCCACTCTCCACACAACACCAGGTTGACTCCGCCCCACTCCCACGGTGGTGGATACTCTGGCGTTTCCGGATATGCAAATGTGAGCCCGTTTGGCAACGTTGGGCTTGCTGGATCGTCAAATGATCCTTACCAGACCTATGGCTACGGCATGTGAGAGGGTGACCGCTGTGTTGCATGCCGATTCAATTCGACCGATGCTGCGTTCTCGCCAATCCCTATTTCTATGTATATTCTATGGCCTTCGCATTTTGACGACCGATACCTCATTCGCGTTGCATGGCTCGCTCAAGCTGGCGGTTTGTTTGGGAGGTATTTTACGCCAAAGGGATCGGCCGGCTTCGATCAATACCACCACCGCAATTGTACATTGATCCGGCATACAACCAATTTCCCTGCAGTACTATTTTGCTTGCTTTCTGAACACTTCACTTTCTCCACCGTCCGTCGCATTTGTATAGCGTTAATCTTGATCCCTCCATCATCTAAAGCAATGTTCTCTTTAATGGCTTAAACTGTCGCAGCACTACGTTTTTGTACTTATTGTGCAATTCTATGCAGTCGTTTTGACTTGGAGCCGATGAAGTTTGAAAAAGACACGGGTCGGTAGATGTGGGGAAAGGGGATGAGTGCTGAAAGACAGAGAAAAGGGGCTAAAAAAGAGAAAAACTTCATAGCCCACCGCGAGGGTCGAACTCGCAGCCTTCAGATCGCCTAGTAACTGTTAAGAGTCTGACGCTCTATCCGATTGAGCTAGGCGGGCGACGGCAAAAATGCTTCAAATGGGAGCAATGGCTTGTTTGCATCACATACATCACACACAAGCGCCGTAGGCAAGCCTTGCATGCGAGTAGTACACGGGTGATGCACTAATGAAACGTGTGTCGTATGCTTAAGGATCGTTAATTCATTTACAGTATGCTCAGCGCTCAGGTCCAACGCATCCTTACTGTGTTCCTGTGGGGCGTCAAGTGATGACGTATTACTAATCGGCACAGTCGATAAAATGCTGCCGAGGAAGGGCAGGAGAGCAGTCAACCAGTCACACTCGCTCTGTCTTTTTTGTTCCTCTCTTCCACACTCTCTATCAGTTTTTTTTTTAAAAACTATCAACCTGGCTGCTATGCGCTCGCTGTATCGCATCGCTGCCGGCCTCACTGCGGCAGCTCTTGTCGTCTCCGGCGTGCATGCCATCCAAAAGGTCACGAGGGCTGGTAGATATCTCTATACTGCAGACGGAAGCAGGTTCTACATCAAGGGCGTTGCATATCAGCAGCAAGGTCTGTAAATTCTAATGCATGTTCCATCTTCATTCGAGATTGACGTATCGTCAACAGGTGCTATTGTGGCTGACGCCAGCAATCCATTCTTGGAGCCATCTACATATATTGATTCGCTCGCCAACGGAACCTCTTGCCAACGCGACCTACCTTACCTCCAACAACTTGGAGTCAATACTATTCGAGCTTACAGCGTCGATTCTAGTCTCAACCACGACACATGTATGGAATTATTTAGCAACGCAGGTATATACACTATGTGAGTTCTTGTCCTCCACGCTATTGCCGCCCGACGAACTGTAGCTTGTCAGCATCGATTTATCACTGCCAATCAATGGGTCCATCGACAGCACATCTCCTGCATGGACTACGAACCTCTTGGATCTCTACCTCGAGACCGTCAACGCATTTTCAAAGTACGACAACGTGCTTGCCTACAACGTTGGGAATGAGGTTGTTACGCAGTCAAACGAAACCGATGCTGCCACATTCGTCAAAGCCGCAGCTCGTGACGTCAAGGCTTACCTGTAAGCAATGAAATCGTTTCCTACTTTGGCAAACACGTTTTGATGCACGATGTTAGCAACTCCATCAAGTCCTCCGCTCTGGTTGGTTATGCAGCTATAGACGGAGATGCATCATGGATCGTTCCCCTGGCTAATTACCTGTCCTGCGATCCGTCTGGTTCAAATTCAGGTGCTACCGCTATCGATCTTTATGGCCTGAACAACTAGTCAGTGTTATTGGTCGGTGCATCGCGTCGGTGTAACTTATACTCTGTTCTAGCGAGTGGTGTGGCAATTCCACCTTTGAAGCGTCATATGCGGGTACGGAGGGCGAGTTCGCTGGGTACAATGTTCCGGCCTACTTCAGTGAATTTGGTTGTATCACCGCGGGGACTCCACGCCCTTGGACCGAAGTCGGTGCCATTTTCAGCTCTGAGATGTCCCCCGACTGGTCTGGTGGCGTTGCGTTTTCGTACTTTCCAGCAACCAGTATCCAAGGCCAGTTCGGCATGGTGAATATATCGTCCAATGGCAGCGCTGTCATCACTGGTCAAGACTTTGATAATCTGGCAGCACAATATGCCCAGGCATCGCCCCCGAACTCGCCCTCGCAAAGTTCTGCCGGTTCGACTAGCTACCCGTCGTGCCCCCAACAAAATTCCACTTTCCAAGCCTCAACCAGCTTGCCCCCGACACCCAACCTATCAGCATGCACGTGCTTGGAGAATAATCTTGGCTGTCAATTTACTCCCACGACATCCAACTATACTTCAATCGTGGGTTCCTTGTTGAATTACGGCTGCAGCCTACTCGGTCAGTCCGGAGGTTCCTGCAATGACATCTCTGCCAATGGCATGAATGGCACGTATGGCCTTGTCTCTCAATGCGACCCAAGTACGTGTTGCGTTCGTATGAGCAGGTACACTCGCTGACGTTGACGTCCTTTAGCTATCATGTTGTCATATGTTATGAGCGAGTATTACAGCGCCACTAACGACAACTCTCAGTCGTGCAGCTTTGGTGGCAACGGTACCGTCAATACGAATGCTAAATCCTCCCCTACATCGGTGGCATCTTCGTGCTTGGCGACTGCCACTGGTACCTTTGTGCCGACGTTGCCCAGCGGAGTTGCATCGACGACCCCCTACCGGTGCTGGATCTTCTAGTGGATCAAATTCGTCTAGCGGTGCTTCGATTGCAGCTTTCGATGGGAGAATTGTCGTTGGCGTCAGCGTTCTTGTGGCGACGAGTATAGTTAGCGGTGTCTGGACACTTCTGTAGTGGGATGTATAATTTGGGGATCATCGGGGATGGACGGATACCTCCATTAATTTTCTTTTTTTTTCCTTCTCTTTTTTCTTAAATAATGGACTGTTTATGTAATGGCGACGTAGCAAGCGGAGTTTGATTTCCAAGGTCATTCCCCTGTTGTGGGCGCTCGGTTGTCATAACTTTTTTGCTTTCTCTCCACCACTTGTGCTATGGCTGCCTCACCCAGTGTCGTGGACGACATCCGTACTAGGGACAGGTGGGGCGCAGTAGACGACCAAGACATCGACGATATGGGCCCTGTAAAACTTGACCATGATACTGTCATGGATGACCTGCCTACTGCCATCGCTGCGGAAGACCCCTCTGCTCTCGTGAACTAGCCACAGCGAAGAGATGGCGACCAGCAACCTCAAGCCCAGGGACGACACTTCTCGCGACAGACCACCCAAGGTGCTTAACAGTTCACTTGTTTTCTCGTTTCGTCTCTCTGCGTCCACTGTTCGCTCGTCATGGCGTCCGTCTATAGGCGAAATCTGCTGTTGCTTGGTCACTCCTCACTGTCTCATGGCTGGATACTTGATATTTACTTGGCAGCTGCTGGCTCCTGTTGGTTTGACTGTTGCTAGGCTGGGTCGCCACCTACATGTTCATTAAGGTCTGGCTAGCCCCCGACGTGCTTCTCTTCTCATGCAGGAGCGTTCTACTCCTGCGACCGGCCATGTCTACTTTACTTACCCGTGTCTCCTGTCTTCTGTGTTCCTGGTATTGAAACTCCAGTTTGCGTATCGCAGCAGCCGAACAAAGTATACATTGGCGGTCTACCCGAAAACACACGCCCCGAGGACCTCCGGAATGGGTTTGGGAAACTCGGCAATATCATTAACATCGAGTTGAAGTGAGTCCCAGCATTTCTTTCCGTTACCGGTAGCCCACGTCTGAACTCGTCGGGTTTTTCTAGGACTGGCTATGGCTTCGTGGTGAGTGTGTTGAGTATATCGACCCTCGTAGATAATATCAACCATACTGGTCAGGAATTTGATAATCGCAGGTCAGCAGAAGAAAGTGTCGCAAAGTATCACGAGGGGTATTTCATGGGAAACAAGGTGCGCGTCGAGATGGCGCACGGTAAGGGACGCGCCACAAAACGAATCGAGGATCCCGGTGCATGCTTCAAGTGTGGAGAAAATGGTCACTGGGCAAAGTGTGCACGCTCTAAGCACCATAGGTGCGAACTTACTCACAGGCGGTTTGACAGGGAATGTTCTCGCCAAAGTTCACACTCGTAGGTTAACCTATGAACAACCTCTTCGTGTTTTGACTTGTACACATTTTTTTTCCAGACGCAGTGGAGCTGTGACTGAATCGACTTTGCTTGATCGCCTACATCCGCGGGACTACGCAACATCACGTGACTATTCTGCCCACCGCGACGACACTGGTCGGTATGCGTCTCGAGAGAGTCGCTATTATGACTCCTCTCCGCCACCCTCGAGGGATTACCGACGCCTGCCAAGTCCTCCGAAGGACCAGCGTGATTACCCGATGCCCCCTCCGCGGTCCTCGCGTGATTACGACGAATACAGGACTAGGGGCCCCCCATCTTCGCGTTACGACCGATCCGGATACGAGCGGGACTCATTCTCGTCAAGGAACCCGCCGGCACCTCCTCGGGACTACGATCGCTATGATAGAAGACCTGTGGATGATAGGTATGAGCCACCGGTTAGCGGTCGACCAAGGACACCACCTGGCCCCCCTCCAAGTCGCCGGGATTACTATGATAGGCCTCCGCGGTACGCTATGGCCTAATTCATGGGACCCGCTTACACCAGTGACTAACGTATTTCGTAACAGTTATGAACAGCCGGAACGTGTGGAACGTGGTCGGCCAATAACCCCCACCCCGGAGCCGCAGCTTGGAGACTGCCCGATATCGGTGCGTGGACACCTGAACGACTCGATTTCGGCGGATTAATAATGTCCTGTCAGTCGTCGCTCTCTTAGTCCTCGGACCTCGCGGTATGAACCCGTTAGCTACTCTAACTCGAGCAACTACTCTGGAAACGGGTATGCGAGCGACAGGCACTCGGCATCGCTGCGGGATAGTGGAAGGTCCAGGGACTACTATCGTAACGGTCGAGAGTCGGAAAACAGTTACAGGCCAGTCTGAAAGTACTGGTTTCTCAAATTCTCCGGCAAGTGTGTTTTTTCTCGCCATAGCAAGTACCATAAATAGCGTGTTAGTCCTTTTGTCTCGATGAATAGTGCGTGAATTTGCCTTGTCCAAGGCAGTATGTTTTTGTTCGCCTAGAATTTGCCCAATATACTGCCTACTCTCGATGACTGGCGTGCAGAAGTACAAGGGAATGAGTGAATTCAAGAGCCATTACAGTGATGTGCATCAGGCAAATTGTTGGCCTTCTTATTGACCCAAGTGCAAGATGAACTACGTACTGCTACAAGCGACAATGCAGTTGAAGTAATATAACTACCCAAAAGACAGAACTGCTCATTCAAAATAGGATCACTAGTCGACTACTCGACCCCACCGATTCCAATGCAAACCATAGCGTCCTAACGCTTGGAGTCATGGACACGTTGCCTGACGATTACCTCGGTATCTCTACCAATGGACGGTGCAGGGTCGACGGACTCAAACCCTTGAACAGAAGTGGGGGGGATGAATCCGCTGGGATGCTTGAACG